CAAATTGTAATTCAAAACTTTTTACGTAATCGTCATTCAAACTTCGTACGTGGTTTTTATAAAGTTAATTCTCTACCGCTTAAACAATGTATTTAGACTTATAAATACGTTGTTTAAGCGGTAAGATAAAAGTATATTAATTTATAGACTTGTTTATATTATAGGCTTAATTATGTTAATGTCTTTAGACTTGATTATGTTAAAAAAATGACGAAAAGTGGCTCTACTGAAATGGCTCACCGCTTACGTAAATGGCGCACCATTTTACGCCTTAAAACAAGTTTTATGCTAGTAATTATAAGTTTCACAACAATAACAAAACAAAAAAAAGTGTAAATAGCAAGCGCGGATCTAACGTTTTTTGATGTTGAAATGTTTGACATTTAATTTTTTTTTTTGAAATTTATATGATATAATTATATCAAATATTTTATTATAGCCTATTGTACAGAAAACCATATTAAAATAATTAAAAATATTTATTTCTTATAGGGACGACGATTAAATATATAATATTAAAAAAATTATGTGATTCCATATTAGTAGGAAGTATATATTATAGCAAAAGTATCAGTTTTAACAACCAACTGAATTAGGGATCTATGCAGCATCTCTAGGTCCTTGCCAAGAAAAGACAACAATGGATCATCTACAGGTCAGATCAGGTTTATTTTGCTACTGGTAAGATGTAACCCAGTACAATCTGTTTCATGTCATGCTTCCTTGTAGGATATGCCTTTTTAGGCAAAGGCTAGGAAATACAAACTCCGACATAAAACACCCCCTGCCGTGGGGCTCTTGGTTGAGTAAAGGCTAGAGATGGTGTCTCGATAAAAATACTCATCTTGGGCAGATGTTAAATGCATCCGGCTGCTGTCTTGTAGAAGGCCTTCTAGGCAAAGACTTAAGGGGTGAACAGATTCTATCTGTTGACCAGCCTCGCACCCCTTCTCCATCTATTAGGCTGGCGCAGATGTATTTTTAATACATTGTTTCCAGTTTAGGATGTTGAACGGTGGATCTTTTTGACTCGATGCATGGGTTTTGCTTGTGTCTCTGTTTTTATGACTAGGCAACTCATTCTATTATCTCCAAATGAGGGTACAGCTCTAAAACTCAGTTTTATGGTTCTGAGGCCGGCTGATAGTCAGGTTTCCCGAACTCTGTGATAGCTCTCAGAGAGTTTGATTCCATCAACAGCTGAAAAATATCAGAGTACTAACAGTGCCATGCTGCGCATGGATGGTGTCCCTGTTTGTACTTTTGGTGTGCATTGCCGAGGCCACATTGGAGCCCTTTGTTACGGCTTAGGGTTTATTAGTGGAAATGAGGCAATTGCTTGGGCTATAAAACAGTGCACTAAGTACTATCTATGTTTTGAGTCAAGTTCTTTAACAAACTTAAAAATGAATAAAATAACAAAAACTATAAAACACAAAAAACCACAGTCATCACCAAGTTCGCTAAACATATCATTTACCAACATTTACATTCGTAAGAATTCACCCATTTGTCGGGATACTAGGTTTGAATCCACAGACTACTCTTTTAAGTGTTTTCGTTTAGCACCACTTCACTCTATCACCTTTCTCCTTCTTCTATATCGCTCTCCTTCATCTCAAGACTGCACTCTTCTTGATGTTATCTTGATTATATTGACCAAGCCCTCATTTTTTTATCCATCAGCAAATATTCTTGTTGTCGGTGACTTTAATGTTCATCACAATGAACGGCTTGGCTCTAGTGTCAGTGACTCTGCAGGCATTAAGGCTTTCTCAATCCTTAACTCAAATAGTCAACTTTCCAACTCGCTTTTCAGACAACCCGAATCATTTACCTTCTCTACTCGACTTATGCCTTGTTTCTGATCCTAGTCAGTGCTCAGTTTCTCCACACTCACCCTTAAGTGCTTCTGATCATGTTTTGGTCTCTCTAAAACTATTATCGCATTCTTCTTTACCATCAGAACCTCCCTATCATTGCACATCTTACAACTACCTTAAAGCTGACTGGGACTCTTTCCGTGATTTTCTTCGTGATGGCCCCTGGGTAGAAATCTTTCTTCTACCTGTTGACAAATGTGCTTCTTACATAACTTCATGGATTCAGGCTGGCATGGAATCCTTTATTCCCTCTCAACGATTCCAGATCAAGCCTCACTCTTCTCCATGGTTTTCCTCACATTGTGTTGCTGCAATTGCTAATCGAAACCATTACTTCCATATCTATCAGCAAAACAATTCTCCAGAAAACAGACGTCTGTTTATTACTGCTAGGAGCCATTGTAAAAAGGTCTAACGCCAAAGCCCACTATTCTCAGATCATGAAATCTCATTTCATCACAAAAAGTCTCGTGACTTCTGGAGAATCTTTAATAGTATCAATAATAAGGGCAAGTCTGTAATTCCACCTCTTTTGTACGGTTCAGACTTTGTCACCTCACCAAAAGACAAAGCTGAATTGTTTGCCAAGAACTTTTCATCAATATCATCTCTTGATGCCACTAGTTGCGTTCTACTTGATATAGCCGTCAAACAGGTTGATCCACTGCTCGACGTCCGTATCACTCCAGCTTCTGTATCTAAAGTGATTTCCTGACTCTTCTACAGCTTGCGGCTCGGACAACATACCTGTTATAGTCTTGCAGAAGTGTTCTCCGGAGCTGCCATCCATCCTTTCAAAACTATTTAACAAGTGCTTATCAGAGTCTTGTTTTCCAGCCTGCTGGAAAGCACCATCTGTTATCCCTATTTTTAAAAATTCTGGAGAGCGATCCGATTCGTCTAACTACCGTCCCATTAGTCTTCTTCCTATCATAAGCAAGGTTTTTGAATCTTTAATTAACAAACACTTAATCTCTCATCTTGAATCTCATAACCTACTTTCTGATCATCAATATGGATTTCGATCTTCTCGTTCTACAGCTGATTTGCTAACAGTAATAACCGATAGGTTTTATCGCGCATTAGATAAAGGTGGAGAGGTTAAAGCCATCGCTCTTGACATTTCTACAGCGTTTAATAAAGTTTGGCATGCTGGTCTTCTCCATAAGCTTTCTTCTTACGGTGTATCTGGAAACATCTTTAAGATTATCAAATCCTTCCTTTCCAATCGTAGTATAAAATTTGTCCTTGATGGATAGCACTCTTTTTCTTATTCTGTAACCTCAGGGGTTCCTCAACGTTCAATACTTGGCCCTATACTCTTTTTAATTTACATTAAAGATCTTCCAGATCTAAGGTGGCATTGTTCACATCTAAGGTGGCATTATTCGCTGATGATACTACAATTTATTCTTGTCACGATAAGAAGCCAACTCCCTCTGATTGCTTGCAGGGGGCATCTGAGCTCGAAAAAGATCTCACTTCTACTACAGCACGGGGCTCTGTGGCTAGTGAACTTTAATTCAGATTAAACTCAATTTTTTTCAGCCAATCGTTATCGCAATAATTTAGACCTTCCTATATTTATGAACGGTAATGTGCTTGATGAGTCTCCTACCATTCATCTTCTAGAATTAACTCTTACTTCTGATCTTTCTTGGAAACCTTATATCAAATCCGTTGCAAGATTAGCGTCCGCTAAAGTCGCTTCTCTTTATCGAGCTCGTCACTTTCTTACTCTGGATTCTATTCTCTATCTCTATAAATCTCAAATCCAGCCTTGTATGGAATACTGTTGCCATATCTGGGGTGGATCTTCTAATGATGCCCTTTCTCTTTTAGACAAGGTGCAAAAATGCATTGTAAACATAGTTGGACCTGCTCTTGCAGCCAGCCTTCAACCTATGTCACATCGTCGTAATGTTGCTTCTCTTTCTCTTTTCTTCAAATACTATAATTGGCACTGCTCTAAAGAGCTAGCGTCTCTTGTGCCATCTACAAAAATTCATTCTCGTGTTACTCGTCATTCAACTAAGTCTCATCCTTTTTCTGTTACTGTTCCTAAGTGCTCCAAAAACTCTTATTCGTCTAGTTTCTTTCCTCGAACATCAGACCTTTGGAATTTGCTTCCTTCATCTTGCTTTCCTGATTCATATAATTTGCAATCTTTTAAGTCGTCTGTCAATCGTTATCTTGCTCTGCAATCTTCATCTTTTCTCTTCCAGTAACTTCCAACACTAATTAGTGGTTGCTTGCAGCCTTGTTGGAAGCGAAGATGTTAAAAAAAAAAAAAAAAAACTTTGCAAAAAAATGCCTAACCTGAAGTCTCGGAACAAAAAACCCTAAAATTTTGTCTATAACTACCCCAAAAAAGAGAGCAACAAGTTGAAAAAATATTTTTTTGTATTATTCGTAAATAAGTTTATATTCATAAATGAAATCTAAACTTCAAACAATAATCTCTTAGTGTTCAGGGAGATTTTGAAGGAAGAGGGGGTGGCGTTTCAACTTCTTTTTTTTTTAAATCTAATCTAAAAAAAAAAGGTCTTCGTTAGCTAACATTTACTGACTGGTAACAAAAGACACCTATACTAAATGGTCAAAAATTATCTTATTTACGATGTCTTTAAGACGTCTTTTTTTAATTGATTATGCAAATCTAAAAGACATCTTTTTTATACATCGAAAAGACGTCTTTTTTTTATCTTAATCTTGTCATGAAAAGACATAAAAAATGCGTCTTTAAGACGCCTTTTTTTAGTCAAATATGCAAATCTAAAAGACATCTTTTTTATCTTAATCTTGTCATGAAAAGACATAAAAATGCGTCTTTAAAACGTCTTTTTTTTAGTCGAATATAAAATCTAAAAAAGTGTTTTTTCTCGGGGTCGGAACGACTTTTTTACCATTTTTACCATACTTATTAGTATACTATAGTATCCTATACACCATAGTATTCCTACTTTTCTTATATGAAAAGCTATTTTTTTCAAAGAAAAATTATAATAGCTCTTTATACAAAGTATGACAAAAAGCTTTTTCCAATGCCAAGAAAAAATCCTTTTTTAGATGTCAATATAAATAAGGAAGCATTTTCTACATCTTTTATATGTTTAAATATAGGAAAATAATTTATAAATAAAACAATAGTATTTTTCAATAGAATATTTTTTCATCTTTCTCTTTCTTTTCTGTTTCTTGAGCGAGCTCTGTTTCTTGGCGTTGTTGAATAAAACTTACAATTTCACGTCGAGAAATCCTTTCATACGAGCAGGTTACGACCTCTAGCTGGTTACCACTTCTAAAAAACGAGTGAACATAAAAAACAGTATATTGCTTAAATGTAATACAAAAAAAGCAAACGAAACTTGATTAGCTGAGTCGAGTACATTATACTTACCAACTATTAATTCAAAAAGGGCTGATCCTTTTAATCCACTCATGTTTCCAGCGCGGTCTCTTCTTTTTGAACACACTACATTAGATTGGGACAAAAGTTAAACGGTAAACAGTCTAAAAATGTATACGAGTGTGCTAAATAAATTTACAACCATCAAAATGACTGTTCAACGATGTATTTTATTATGTAGTACTTAAATCAAGCTAAACATTTGCACCTCTCAGATTTGCTATGAAAGCCAAGTTATTGAAAACAGATATTGATATTTTTCTATCTTATATAACATGATTTTTTAATTGAATTTTGCTGAAATTAAGTGTTGTAGACTCATAACAATTTAAAAATCCGTTATTGACTAAAGAATATCAAAACAAAAAGATATAATTCAGTTAATACACCTTGAGAGTTGTTATTCATTTAAATTAAAAAAAAGTATTAGTCAAAGCTCTATTTTAGCCTGAAACATAAGGATGCTTTACTTAACAACATAAAATAATCAAAACTGGCGATATCATAGCAACATAGATGAAATACACATAAACAAAAATGAAGACTAGTAAGCTGCAATGATGTTTAGGTACAAGAAAGTGTACCTTTCCAGACAGACAACAGTTAACAAGGAAATAACATATTTAACATAAAAGTTGAAGAGCTAATCTTTTGTATAAACAATTTCATCATTCAACTAAATAAAAACAACAAAATTATTCAGATCATTTAAAAATATATAAAAAAAAAATTGCAAGCCACTGAATGCTTCTTTTTTTCTATTGTTCGTTTCACTGGCACTTGAACAAGTAAATATAGAGAGAAATTGTTTAAAGGTTTTATTTTTCGTCTGAAAATAAATATTTTATTTTAATATGTAATAAACAACGTTCTTCAAGCACAATACATTAAAAAATTAGTCTAAAAATAAATAGTAAAACTTTTTTTAAACACTTACCTGCGACTAACTTAATTGAGACTAGATCATATCGATACCATCTTACTGGCACCACGCCATCCCCTTTTGCTTCTTCCGACTAACATTTTTTTGCTAAGCAGCTGCAATTGTATATTTATTTCAGTATATATATATATATATATATATATATATATATATATATATATATATATATATATATATATATATATATATATATATATATATATATATATATATATATATAATATATATATATATATATATATATATATATATATATATATATATATATATATATATATATATATATATATATATATATATATATATATATATATATATATACATATATATATATATTAATTTATATATATATATATATATTAATATATATATATATATATATATATATATATATATATATATATATATATATATATATATATATATATATATATATATATATTATAATATTTATATGCATTTATATTATGTATATTTTGCATAATATATTACTTTATTATATAAATTATTAAATAAACCCGCTTACCAAAAAAAGTTAATTTTTAATTAAATTTCCTATGCAAAAACGTTTCACATAAAAGTTATATAAAAGTATTTTGTAAACAAAAAACGGGCCAATCAGAACGTAACAAAGATATCGTAATTACGATACTGTCGGTTAAAACCCATTTTTGTGGCAATAATTAATTTTAATTTTCTTTAGCAAACAATGATTTCTTTATTAACAACCAATTGACGTCTTTTTGACCTCTTTTTTGAAGACGTCTTTTTAAAAGACACCTTTCCACGTCTTTATTTTGGCTGATTATAAAAAGACATAACAAGTCATAAAAAAGTCGTCTAAAGATGTCTTTCTTCCCACTGGGATGTACGCTAAGAGATTATTTACGAAATTTAGAATTTATCGACGAATATAAATTTATTTAAGAATAGTACAAAAAATATTTCATCAAATTGTTAATACAATTTCTTATAAATTTCAAGACTTTTTTGTTTAGGCCAAAATTTTAAGGCTTTTTTATTCCCAGACTCCAACCATAGCATTTTACTTGCAAATTATCTTTATTTGAAATAAGAATAAACTTATGAATGTTTACATGTTATGCAAGTAAAAATGTTAATTATATAGCATGCCGTAGCATTTTTTTAAAGATAAAATATTAAAAGAAAAATTATTGTAATATAAAGTTTTATATTATTGTGGATAATTATGTTTAAAGGAAAACAGGATTAGGGATGTTCCTTAATTACATTCAGAGTGTAGTGTCTTCAAGGATAGCGGACATTTTTTTTTTAACGGAAATAAAGAAACTAAAATAAAACAATTAACAATAATAAAAATAACAAAATATTTCGTGTCACAGATGTTACAAAAACACAGGTCATTGCAAATAGTGATTCGCTAATAAAGCACAATGACTTGAATAAGATAATAACAACAACAATAATAATAATATGAAATAAGTAAAACCACATAAAAAAGTAGGTTAAAAAAGGAATTTAAGTTAAATAAGTTAACATAATATTAACTAATAAAAGTAAAATTGCATAAAAGTTTATTTAATTATATCAAAAAAATCAGACTTTTTAATATATATAACAATTAATATAATGTACATTTATAAATGCACATATACAAAAATTATATTAAAATAAGTAAATTATAATAAAAATAATTATTTAAAATAAAATTAATAAAAGAAACAAAATTATAGTAAAATAATAAACTATAATCGAAATTTCAAGTATTTTGGAATATTTTTGTTTTAAGCCATTGAACAAAACTGGTCATATCCTGATTAATATATTTATTAAGTTTTTTGAGAGAGTTTGTTATTAATTGAAGATTAGTATCATCAGCAAAATGTTTTTGAATGTTTGATAGAAAGATTGAGATCATTAATATAGATAATAAAGAGAAGAGAACCTAATATGGATCCCTGAAGTATACCAATTAAAACGTTTTTAATATCTCAGCTGGTTACATTTATAGTAAAAAACTGTTGACTGTTGACTTGTTCACTGCTCGTGTGTGACCATTCGGCGAATTTTATATGCCATAGTTTTTAAATAATATTGGGCCTAGCCCGTAAGGGTTAGTGTTACAGTTATCGAGCACGACTATTTTCCTAATCGCAATTACTGTCACCGCGAAAGAGGATTTTTGTCTGTGGAAGATGCCTGGGCTAGCTTTTTAGTCATAAGTCAGTTATAAATCCATGCATAGGTGTTTAATCCATCATGGTTTTCTGGAGTATGGCTGGGCTGGCTTGGTTTAGTTCAGAGACAATTCTTTTACGCTGGTTACTAACAATACAAGACTCTACTGAACGACATAAACAGCACAGACTTACACATTACACCTATACACCCTTATGCACATACAGCCTGTTTACATCTTTTGCATGCTTTTTGTTCTTTCATAGATAAACTATCTTTGTTTGAACTCATCCTTATTTAGATAATATTTTCTTTTAATAGATTTGTTGTTGAAATGTAGATACAGATTTGTATGTTATCTATATGTCTTTATCATATGTGATTGAATTTTTCATTAAAGGATTCATATGCATATACATATAAGCATAAGAGCGATTCTTATAAACTAGCGGCTTTCGACTTGTTTTTATGAAGTATGTTTTTCCTTGTTATTTTGTTATGGTCTCAAAGTTACATTTAATTCGGACCGTAGAGAAAACTTTATTTTTCGGAAACTTCGATTTAGATATGGTCTCAAAGTTACTTTTATTCGGAACGTAGAGAAAACTTCATTTCTTAACAATTTTTTTCCCGCTTTCTACATCGTTTTTATATCATAATTTATATCATTGTTATATTACCCACAACTAATTTTTTAACCACTCATATGGCTTAAAATTATCTGGTTTTATTACAATATTTAGTTAGTCTTATTGCTGTATTTATTAATATATTACTTATCTCCTGATTTTCATATTATTACTGTTTACAGAAACTTTCATGTTATATTATCTTGCATTCATTATTCATCTTTGTTTTAATTTTCACATGCACAATTTTCATCTTTATTATTATTCAGAGAATATTTTTATATCCTTCATTTAATGTTTACATATATGTCGCTTACATTTTTAAGGTTTTTGTGCAACGTTCTTTTTCGCTATCATATATTATTCTATTATTGTTATGATTTTGGGTTTCGCGGGTTACTCATTTTCCTACACTTTTGATTGGTTATCATATTTCGAATGAGGTATCTATGACAGCGTTAGAGTTTATTTAAGGGTATTGTTTTGTTTATTAAAAAAAATTTTCATGAGGTATACTGCTTTCTGATTATCTTGGGCTTGTTTATGCTAATAATACCTATTTGGTTTTTATTTCTTAAAATAAATTGTTTAATATTTTTATGTTTCTATTAGAATTTTAATTTATTTTGTTTTCATGTTTTCTTTTGGTGGTACGGTAAGTTTTTTATTTAGTTATTTTTATTTTTGTTTTTTCAGTAAATCTATACTTTTTATATCATATCATCAAAAAAAATATTGGTGCTTTACTAATTTGGGGTTGATTGGGTTTTGGCTATTTGTAGTGAGTCCTTTTTTACTGCAGTATGGAATAGGCGTAAGTCGCGGGCTAAAGCATAAGTGGCGATGACGTTTGTCTGACGGGATAAACTAGTTATAAATGCTGATCCTCATCGAAACGCCAGTAATTATAGACGCGACTCTGAGGAGATGTTTATTACTTAATCACTACACTAATTATGTTTACACATTAGCATTAATGTTTTTTTTTTTCCATTAGTCATTTCATTGTTGTTAGCATATTTTTATTTTGTTGAATGGTTTTTTTTTTACAAATTTTTGACTGGTTATGTATTTCTTGTATATTTTAGTTCATATTGGTATTTATAAAACAATTTTTTTAATTTTTTTTATTTTTATATATATATATTTTTTATTATTTATTTTTAATTTTTTTTATTGTTATTATTGTTGAGTACTGTTTTAATTGTATAGCCTGTCTTATTTATTTTTAAATATTCCTCTATTAATATTTATTTTTGTCTTGACAACTGTCAAAATATGCTTTGTCTAATAAATAATTCTCCTTTATTCTAATGTACTTCATTTCTTCCCTCAGACGTTCACTGCTCGTGTGTGACCATTCGGCGAATTTTATATGCCAAAGTTTTTAAATAATGTTTGATACAAAAGATTGAGATCATTAATATAGATAATAAAGAGAAGAGGACCTAATATGGATCCCTGAAGTATACCAATTGAAACGTTTTTAATATCTCAGCTGGTTACATTTATAGTAACAAACTGTTGACGATCAGAAAGGTATGATTTGAACCATAATTGTTAAGCTTTGAAAGGAGAATTTCGGAAAAAAAAAGAAAGAGTTTACAAAATTATTAATAGCTTAAATCATTTTAATCATCTAAAGAAAATTTTAAATATAGAAAGCAAAAAGAGTAAAACAGTAAATGTCTTTTAAGTGAATAATAATAAAAAAAGAAATCATAGAAATATATAATAAAACTCTATACTATAGCATATTTATATGCGCAATTGCTCACTTTTTTTGCTAGCCTAATTTAAGTGAGCGTTTTTAGAAAACGATGAGGGAAAACGAAGAATAATGAATGAAAAGGTTGCTGACCCATACCAAACCCTCAGTCGATGTAGCAGCATTCCACTGCGAGTCAGGCTACCCAGTGGGCACACGACGGAAAAAAGACGTCCTATGTACGTTCAGTTCACGTCCGCTCGATTTATTCACAATATGAACTATAATAAGACATCTTATAAACGACTTTTTCTCGTTCGTTTCGAAAATAAGAAAATTTATCACTTTCAGTTTTGAAAAACCATTTTATTATGTCTAATGACGCGAAATGTCATTATTAAAATTATTAAAAGGTGTTTTAATAAAATTTATTAAAAGGTGTTTTAATAATGGCGATTCTCGTATGAAGAGGTCACAATTACTTATTAGATAATTGTTAGATAACATATGTGTTTTATATTTATGTATCTATATAGATAAATAAAATATACAAAGATTGTTTATATAGTAAAGAAAAACTATATATAACTTTATATGACATATATATGTCGTGACATGTTTTTTTTTTACTTTATATGTCATTAAATTTTCTTTATTTTTATATATTTTATATTTTTTATGTCATATTAGATATATATAAAAATAATGAAATTTAGATTGATTAACTAATTTTTTTATTATATTACTGTATCAGTATAAAATCCTATTTTATTTACTGTCATTTATATTTTAAGTATTATATATATTTTTTTAAACTTAATACTTAAAATATAAATGTCAGGAAATAAAATTATAAAATTAAGATTTTATACTCATACAGTAATAATATAATAAAAATCAGTCAATAAATCTAAAATTTTATTCTTTTTATATATATATATATCTTTTTATATTTATTTTATATTTTGTAATTTTATTTTCTTTGAAGTTAAGAGTCAATAACCTAATCCCTGTTACTATTAATAGATGCATGTAACTATATTATATATCATAATATGATATATATGACAATATGATATATATAGGGATTGCAATCCTGGGATCCCGGACGTTTTTGGGTCCCGAAAATCCCGGGATTCTAAATACAAAATCCCGGGATTTT